CCACCACCACCACCCTTACAGCGCCCCTGGTTGTATTGGTCAATGTACCCCTGAACATTCTTGACATTAGAGCCCTGAAATAATTTATCAGCCATGAACACCCAGATGTGACCCTTACATGTCATTAAAAACACACCAACTACCATATAAAGTGTACAGGAGTGGACTGATCACACAAGGTTTATGTGGCTGTAATTACATCCGGGAAAGACGGCATATAACGAAGAATCATTATTAATGCTATATATTATTCTGCATTTATAAACTGCTTTGAAGCTGTATCCTATATATTGTCAGGTACAATAAAAGTAATAGTTTTCTTCTTTCTATTAACTGCGCTGCAGTTTAGGCCGGATGTTGAAATGCTTACTGGGGTCATGGAACCACATTGTGTTACGACTCGGGGAGACACTGAGCGAGGTGACAGGAACTGGAGTCCAAAATCGGGGTTTATTAAGAAACACAGGACATCAAAGCACATGTAACGTTAATGAGCGGACTGGGGAAACAAACTGAAACCTGGACTAAATACATTGAACTAATGACAGCAACAGGAAACAGCTGGTGAACACGGGGAGTCCGCACGAGGTAGATGAGGGGGCGTGGCACACGGGAGGATAGGACGAGCGGGACATGACACATTGTTACTGCTTGATGTTTAATAGCGCTACAGCCCCCATGCAAATCCCCAATGTATTCGTGTCACTCAACATACCTGAAGTTACTGACCATCCCACCTGAAGGCAAGGAAGCTATTATATATAAAACACCGTGACTGTCACCCTCAGAGGCTGAGATCGGGGACCCCGTTGCCCTGCGGAGTGACAAACCAGGTGACAAGCAGATGAAGACCAAATCTTGCACCCTGTCCCCCGGTAATCCGCCGCATTAGTTAATGCCCAGGCCCATTGTCTGCCCGCTTACAGAGGCATGCGGTCACATGACTGCACCAAGGTCAGGATGAATGGAAAGGCTGGTGGTGTTTACGGTCGGATAGCACAACACAGCGATGGGAAAACAAGGAGGGACAGGTGCGTCTTTTCAGGTTCAACCCACTAAGCGCTTTGGACGCTGCGTCATCAGGACCAGAGCTGTTTGGGATCAGCTCTTGTTCGGCATTGAGTACCAGTCCATCCGGGGAAGAGGGGCGGGGGGCGGGGCACAGGGCTCGTCTTTGGTTACTTGCTGAATCCCCAGCTTGCGTGGGTCACCTTGTAATGTCTGACTATGACTGAGCCGCATTGTCCCAGAACTCACAATTAACAGGGGAATGTATTAGCCGTGAATGAATCGATCGGTTTGCGGAACCTCGCACAGGGCTGCAGAGTACGTGTCAGCCTTTTCAGATTTTCCTGATCCTCCTGTCTCGGCCCCGCCCCTTCGCGGTGTCGCTTCCGGTTGGCATGGCGATAAGAAGCTCATTGTGTGGCTCTAGTTCTGTGGGCCTGTGTTGCATATTTGTGGTGTTTCTGTGCAGGGGACGTGCCTTTGCTCCTGCGGGGAGGGGCCCCCGCCTGTCAGCTCCCACAGGTTGTCCCTGGCTGTACGGGCCACTCTGTCCCCTGACCTTGTGAATTTAAAAGCCCTCCCTTCTCCCTCTATCTCTCTCTGCCTTCCTCCCTTTGTGCTTTGTAAGCGACCCGTGAGGCCCGTCTCTGTACCTCGGACTCTCACGCCGAGGGGCTCGCTTGCAGTCGGCTCTGATAAACGTAACCCAGTAAGAACTGGCCCAGGTCGTGTCCAAGCAACCTGGACGCAGCCCACGGGCCAGTCAAAGACCCTCTGTGCTGACTCTCCCTCCACCCCAAAAAATACCAGCTGAGTTAACTGAAAAACACAGCCCAAGGCCAAATCTCACTACAGGGGCCATTGATTATCTTTGGGGGGGAGGGGGATGAATGGTGGGGGTGAAACCGGACATCCAAAGTAAACAATCCTGGGGTTTTTGGTTCCCCTGCCGAATGTGTGAGGATGGAACATTAACCACAGCTGTTTTGCCAGTGTACTTTGCGATACGGCTTAGTTAGATATGGCTGTTT